CACTCTTCAAGGAACTCGACATCAGCGTTACTTCAAGGGTTCTTCTTATTAATTCTATGAGGAAGTAGCATGGCTTGGTTCCTCATTTGGTTTCTCATTGTCTCCTTGAGTAACACCTGCATTCACATGATCATATTCATCAGTAACTTCATTGCCAACTCTATTATCAATAACCTTACCACTTCTAAGTGTAGTGATTGCTTTGGCTTGCTCTTGGTTCCTTTGGAGTATCACGGGTTGGCTTGGAAACTTTCCAACTTCTCTTTGGTTCAAGGCATCTGCAATCTGCCCCAATTGTGTTTCCATTTTGGTTAGGGCTGCTGAATGTTGTTGGAGAGTGCTATTTGTGGAATGTTGGAATTGCAAGGTGTTTTGGGCTAACAATTTAACCGTGTCCTCAAGGGTAGTGGCAGGTTTTGGTTGGAAATTTTGGAATTGATTGTTGTTCTTCCATGAAAGGTTGGGATGATCTCTCCAACTTGAGTTATATGTATTGGAATACACATCATTCCTTGGCCTTTGATTGTAAGAATTCATGAGGTTCACTTGTTCTTGAACATACCCGGGGTAAGCCTCCCTAGATGGACATTGGTGAGTAGGAAAGCTTGTCATTTGCCAATGGAGCTTGAACACCGTGCATACTGGGCCATCAAGAAGTTCAACTTTGATTACAAGGATGCTGGAATAGCAAGGAAGCTCCAACTTAATGAGTTGGAAGAGCTTAGAAATGAGGCATATGAGAATGCCAAAATCTACAAGGAACGGACTAAGCTCTATCATGACAAGGCCATCCTAAGGAAGGAGTTTCACCAAGGTATGAAAGTACTTTTGTATGACTCACGTTTGAGACTTTTTCCAGGAAAACTGAAGTCTAGGTGGGTGGGACCATTCAAAGTGTTACAAACATTTCCCCACGGAGCTGTGGAGATAGAGAACATGAAGAATGACACTTCTTTTAAAGTCAATGGGCAGCGACTGAAACCATACTTGGAGAAAGTGGAGGAAGAGCAAGTGTATCAAGTCGTAGATGCTCTTGAGTTTACAACACCATGAACAAGCTACCATGTCTTACCTAGACATTAAATAAAGCGCTTGCTAGGAGGCAACCTAGTGTGGTTTGTGTTCTTTCCTTATTTTGTGTTTATGTTATTTCCATTCCATATTCTTTGCCTATTTACTTTGCATACAATTTTAAGCATCGAGGACAATGCTTAGGTTAGGTTTGGGGGTGTAGGATGGAAGGTTTGTGTTTTGGATTTGTTTTATGTGTTAGTTTGGGTAAGATTGTTGAAGGTTTATTTTTGGGTGGTTTGTTTGTTTTGTTTGTTTTTGTTGGGTTAAGTGTGTTTTTGCTTGCTAATATGAATGTATATGAGGGCTATGTTTGAAAACAAACGATTGGGTTGCTATGAAAAAGTGTTGCATCTTGTTGTCATGTATAAAGCTATAACTCTTGGAATTATGATGATAGAGGTACCATACTTAAATTCTGGAAGAAGAATAGTGGAGACTACCCTAGTGAGTTATTTTGAGCCTAATTGCTTCTTTGAGAGGGTTTAAAGTGTTTCTACTCCTATCTTTTTCTTTCAATTTCACTCTAAATGATCTCATTACTTTTATTTTGTTTGGATACTAAGAATCATTCTCCTTTGCAGATACCATGTGTTTAGTATCATTCATGAATGAACTCAATGAGATGATGTTAGGCTATGCATGTTTAACTACTAAAAGGCTTAAATCCTACCCATTTGTGTGCTCCATTCACCCTTGTTGCAGCCAAACACTTTAGCCTAATTCATTCATCACCCACACCATAATCTACCCATTCTAGCCCATTACAAGCCATACCTTATAGTTTGGGGAATACCAATGTGATGAAGACTAAGGGCAGATTGAGTTATAAAGCAGGATTGTGGCGTGTACCGAGGGCACCTATGTTGAAAATGTTTCTAAAAAAAAAAAAAAAAAAATAAGAGAGGATCAAAGTGGAGACAAATTCCAAATCGCCTCATTATAAAGCATAGGGCCTGGACGTCAAAAACAAAAGAAGACAAATGCCAGTGAAGAGCCTCAAAGACACCTTGGTATGCCCCAAACTCTAGCATTTCATATCAAGTCTTTCATAACCTATACCCTAAGCCTTGCATTACAACCTTGAGAAAGACCTAGCTGATCATTGAGGATGTATTCATGGGTGATGGTAAGTGTGTGTGTTATCTATATTCTTAGCATTTGATTCATTTCATGAGATCTACTCAGAAACTGTGCTTCCATTTCAGATTTCATATGTGAGAATTTTGATTTCCTTTACATAATTTCACTCATATATGTTGTTGAGAGACTAAACCTTAAGATCTGAGTGAAAACTTGAGTGGAAGCTGTGAGGAGTAGAGTTGAGGCGAATTCTATCTTAAGCATTTGGGTATGGTGACCTTGAAGTTGTAAGACATTAAGAAATATCTTTATACGTTACAATTGATACGATTCTTTGTAGTGGCAAACTTTTGAGTTGAATGAATGACAAAACCTTCATTGGTTCTTATTAGTTTGTTTAAAGCATGTATTAGCCAAATTGTTTGTAGATGTTTGTGGGTGTCATCACTGTAAACCCTCAGGAGACACAACTCCTCCAACTAGGGACACCTAGGGGTTCAAAGGCTTGTTGCACATGCTCAGTGCAATCGTTTAGCCAGCGAAAGTGGTTTAGTTAGATGTTTGTGTTTTGTGTGTTTTAGTTTTAAGTTTGCTCGAGGACTAGCAATAACCAGGTTTGGGGGTATTTGATAAGTCACATTTTGCATGCATTTATATCTTCCTTATTTGGTGTCTTTGTGATTGTTTTGGATTAAACTAGTTGCATTTTACATTATTTGGTGTTAGTGTGCAGCCAAGTGTGAACTTGGATCAATGGGAAGGCAAATGAAGTAAAAACATTCCAGAAAAGATGTGAAGTGCTAAGAGATGCAATTCGGCCATATTGGGTGATTTTAAACAAAACAAAAACATGGAAGTCAGCTATGTGATTCCAACACCCAAACATGCATTCACATGCATGTTTGCAACCTTGCCGTGCTTCCCATGCCATTCCAGCTCCCTTTTGCACCAAGAACATGCACCTCCATTACTTAATTCATTCAACCATAGTTCCACCAACAAACATAATCATGTCATGCAAATCCCATGTGGTTCCAAGTCAGATTATGCATTTCTAAACACCAAAGCATGCATTCACATGCATGCTCACATCCATTCCGTGCATTCCATTATCTTTCTCATGTTTCATCTTTGCAAAAATCCACATGCTTGCACATTTCCCTTTTGTTATTCACCCATTATTCCAGAAAATCACTCATTCCATCATCCCATGCCGTGTGTTTTCTTCCCCTTTCCAGATTTGTACAAACAATTTCTGGTGGTTCAATTCACCTTTGCATAAATCCACATGCTTCTTTATTAAATAATCCTCATACCTGCAGATCATGTCCATTCCTTGCATCTATCATTCCAGAAATCCATTCATCCCATCATTCCATGTGATTCTAGCTCATCCTTGTCTATGCCGTGCATTTTGATACCCTTTCCAGGGTGTCATTTCAGCTTTGCAGCAAGTGCACATGTAGCTAAATTAAACAAACAACATTCATGCATATTCCCTAATACCATGCGTCCACTACCTCAGAAACCCATCAATTCCAGCTCATTTTGATGCTATTCCATCTGACTTGTGCATGGGATCCAATCTGAATTGGAGCCACATTCCCTTCTATAAATAAAGCTCACTTCACACAACAAGGGTTCCGCATTTTTTTCTTCTTCATTCAGTCCATTACACACACATAACCTCTTCCATTTCCCCTCCATTCTCTGTCCATTTCTATCCCATTGGCAGACAACATTCAACCATAGCCGAGCTACCTTCATTTTGCATCACAATTGGAAAACCAACACAAAAGGGCACTCTTCAAGAAACTCGACTTCAGCGTTACTTCAAGGGTTCTTCTTATTAATTCTATGTTCATTCATGTTTTATATTTTTATGTCAAATCTTTTGTAAACATGAATTGTAACTAATCTTCCTCTAGGGATTCGATGTAACCTTGCAAAGTTTGCCATGTAATTAAGTTAGAATGCTCAGTTGTCCATCTATTTCTTGTTTCATTCCCTGATTTAATGTTGACTTAGTGTGTTGATTTTAACGTTTGATCATCATTTGAATTAATCACAAAGTTGTGTAGCCAAGATTAAAACACACATCATGCATAATCTTGGTAGATATGTGAATGAATGAAGGGAATGTTTAGCAAACATCCTGCCGAGTTATTCCCTTTGGTTTTATGAAAGTTTCTTGTGCATTACATACTCTTGATTATGAACCAAAGTTGCACATCACAATTAGGTTCATGATTAGAGACATTTGATCAAATCCACACATCATATGGTTGATCATGTCCAAGTGAAACAAACTCAAGAAATAAGTAGATGAATGACTACAAACTAACTTAACAAACATGGACTTAGTTGAGCAATGGTGAAACCGAATCCCTAGCTTCATTTCCATTGATACTATCCCATTATAAAAGTTGTTGATTCATTGATTTGTGTTTACTTCATTTTCTTATGCTTTCAAGTTACAACAACAAATCTGCCTATTTTGATTAGTTTGATTCATTTCTTAGAGTTCTTTGCAAAACAAGTAATTACATAGGTCCAATTAGTCCCTGTGGATTCGACACCCTTGCTTGTGCCATTATACTAAATATATTCTAGCATTAGGAAGGAAATATACATCAACATTAGTAGCATTCTATATGCAACTTACGTCTGACTACCTAATGATGTGCACTGTCAATAATGTAACCTACTAATCTGTGGTTCCTATAAGACAACATAACCTGTCTTCTAATCATTATTACCACAATAGTCAATAACACACAATAGCATGGCCTTGAAAAGAAGCCTCTTATGTATTCTATAAAAAAAAACTGAGAATTTTCAAATACCTTGATCCCTGAAATAGACTTCCAAGATTTCCATGTAGGGCATTTTTAGCATATGAATTTGATTATCTGCGCAAGAAATCTACAATCCATATATCAGTGAACAGTGGAATACATTAGTTCTTTATCACAGAGAATGCATTACTATGCTACGATACTCCATCCCAATAAATTGGATGTTTTCTTACAGAAGAAAGTGAAGGGTCTGGAGAATCAGTCAAATATAGAAGAGGAGATCCAATTCTGCGCAAGAACTTCTTTTTCCCTGTGTCTAGCTGCCAGACCACAAAAACTCCTTCCATTCCACCTGGATAAGATAGAAGTGTCATAAATATGTCACTTTAAAGTAAGAAATCCATGACAAAACAAGGCATAATCCAGGGTGAGTTTCACCTGAATTCGCTCAAAACCCACATACCTGAATATAAATAGGCACCGTCAGAAGAGAAAGAAAGAACACTTATTCCAGTACCATGCCAATGCCATGTGGAGGAAGCATCAGCATCGTCATCTCCCCTAACTCCATCCCTTTCATCCTCATTATTCATTGATCTTTCATTCATTCTTTTGTCACCATCAGAAAACTTACCTTTACGAAATCCTGTCCAGATTAGAATTCTCCCACTTGTATCACCCGCGGCAACAATTGCCTGAGTTGGATGAAATGCAAGAACGGTAAAGTTTCTTGTATGATGCAGTGTAAAATTCTTAGCAATCATGAGTTTCGAGTCTTTAGCAGGGACTCTCCATATATGAAGCTTCCGCTTGTTCCGGATGCCAAAGAATTTTCCTGAGGGACTGATAGTTATAGCCTCTGGTTTTCGAGTCTGTCAAATTCAAACCCATTGTCAGTTTTTCATGCCTCTTAAATTGCAATACGAGAAAAAATATTGGAATTAAATAACAAGTTACCACGGGGTGGGTGGGGGGGTTCCAATTCCTTTCATATAGATTCAGATGTCCAACAAATTTAATGTAGTTAAGTAAAAGCTATTCGTACACAATTTCTGGATACTGATAAAGAACTCAAGAATGAATGGAATTATCTTCATGTATCTCTTAAAGGAAGTTTCATCTCAAAAAAGTTAATATGAATTCCTGAGAGGGAATTAAATAATTCTTTTGGTCTTGGATAATATAAAGGAAATTGATCACAAAAAATATTAGCTCTTAATCAGTATATTATAGAAAAATTCATACAGACATGTGTTTGCATCAATGTTATGGACTTCGACTGTTATATCCTTCAAGTTCTGATCATGAGTAACAATACACCAGCATCAAATAGGGTATGAGAACATTACTACATTGGCAGGCAATACATAACACATGATAACACATACCTATCAACCTATAAGAGAAGCACTAAACACGTAAATGTAACTTTTTATGCAATAAATCATATCAAAGCACTTCTCTTTTGTTCACTTCATAAATTCATTTCCACGCATACCGGAAGGAAACCTCACGAATATCACATAATAATGTATAGGAAAAAAAATCTAGAGTCAAATAACTTCTAGTTCGCTATTGCTCTACCTCTGAGAGAGCACCTCCAGCCAAACGAGATTCAGTCAAATTACACTTCCGAATCTGTCCATGCAATGGCTTTGGTGTATTTTCAACAGACAAATAAGCAAAAACGTGAGCTGCATTAGAATCATTTTCTTGTGTTCCTTTCCCAGGTTGGCCCATTGTAGACGGAACAACCTGAAAATCAAAACCAAATAGCGTCACGCCGTCAAAAAATTTCTCCGCTCCAAACACAAAATTAAAGAAACTAGAATAAAACAGCAAAGCTATCTACCACAGAGAAAATGGGCATTTTAATATCAATGGTCTTCATCAACTCAGGGACTGCAAAGTCCCAATGACGGAGGTGACCAACGCATTGTGACCCTCCAAGGACGATATCTAATCACAAGAAAGAAATCAACAAAAAAATCGAATATTGTCAGGCAGGAGGGGGTATGGGAGTGTAAATTGAGTAGGAACAGGAGGGTACAGTTGGAAAACCCGCAAACCAGCGGAGGTGCTAAAGATGCAGACGGCGGTGCCTGTGCAGACAAGGAGGCGCTTGGCGTCGGTGAGAAGGCCGGACGTGCTGACACGTAGCTCTTGCCGCCCCTAAGCATCTCTATCTCTCTGCAACGGCTGAGCAACCCCTTTCCTGGCCGCCGGAGGGTTTTGGGGTTCTGAGTTTAAGGGCGTGTTTGTTTTCACTCCCTAAGCCTCACTGGACTAGACTCCGCTTAGCTAAGAATATTAATCCGTGTTTGGTGCAAGCCAGGACTGAGTTTAATGGGACTAGCTCGGACTCGTTCCGACTAAACTCTTCACTATCTCGGCTTAGCGAGGCCGGGCAAAAAAGATGGGATTGCTATGCTTTGAAAAAAAGCTGCTTCTATTATGCTGTGAGAATAAGCAGCTGTGAAATAAAGCAGCAGAGTGTTTGGTAAACTTTTTTGTAAAAGTGCTTTTGAAAAAAAAAAGCAATATTAGAGTGTTTGGTAAACTTTTATGTAAAATAGATGTAAAAAAAAGCCGGTTTTTCAAAGCTGGGTTTTGCAGCTTCTTGTTTTTAGCTTTTTTTCATCCAAAACTGTGAAAAAAAGCTGAAGCTGAGTGTTTACCAAACACAAAAACAACTCCCAACTTTTTTTGATAGCAGTTTTTTTTCAGAATCACCTCAATACCAAACCAGGTCTAAGACCAGTGCTTCGCATCTTCATCGTGCTGAGGTTTCGACTTCCTCAGTCGTCTTCCACAGATCTCCAACCCACGGCCATTATGCTTTTCTTCTCCGACCGTCGCGTCCTTCTCAAGGCCGTTAAGCGCTTTTGCAAATTGAAAAAAAAAAAAAGTTGGGATTTTTCTGGGTTTGATCTGAAGAGAAAGTAAATTAATAAAAGAGAAATATGGATTTTAGTTGAAGAGAAAGCAAATGAAAAGAAGAGAAAGTTTATGGGTTTGATTATCAGTGGAAGAAAATCTGAGCTTGTGAAGAACAGATGCAAACCAGAGAAGAAAAGTAGAGGGATGGGGGGAAGACAGTCAAATACAAAAAGTGTGTATTAAGACAAATGAATTAAGACAAAAAAAAAAAAAGTATTTTAACTCTAAAATAATCTGTCATTTAGTCTGATACTGCACAAAATACTTCATTATCCTTATACTACTTAATCCATGTCAAGCCAATCTAGCTTAGTCCCTAAAGTTAGTCCAGGTTGAGATAGTCGAGTACAATAAGCGCACTCTAAGAGTTTTTGGTGGCTACTAAAAAAAAAATCAAAGCCAAAAGGAAATACAAGAGCCCTCCAATTGGAGCATCCCTACAAATTTTTGTTCTTTTTTTAATTTTTTAGTGTTATACTTGTGGGCCCAATGGCTAAGGTCTAATGCTTAATGTTCTTTGTAAATGGGCGGTTCCCCGCCACGCGGCAGCCCGTGTCATAAGAGCAGCTCCAGCAGGAGCTCGTGCTCGAGGGACAGGTTGCAGAACAGGGCTTGATTGCCCAGGGAGGAAGCCCAGCCTTGGTTGGTGAGCGAGGCCGTGCAGGCTCGAGGAAGAGGCCAGTGGATTCGTGCCGGCCCAAGCATCCGAAGGCAGTCTGACGTGGGCTAAAGTCAGAGAGACGTAAGCCGTCTTTTTTATATTTTTTCTGTCTGGCACATGGGCGTGTGTCAGCACATAGAAATTCAGAAAAGGGGCCCGCAGTGCATTCAGTTTTCTTACCGTTGGGGAGCCACATGGCTTCCCCACCTCCGCTAGATTTCAACGACTACAATTTGTGGACCGTTGGATTTCCAACGGTAAAAAAAATTAAATAACCTTATTTAATATCAACCGTTGGATTTGAGATTAACGGTCCACGTTATTCGACTTTATAAATTTAAAAAAAAAAATTTAAAATCAGAAATGTTACTATTGTGCCACGTGACACAATCTGGAGTGTTGGAATACAAATTTGTTTTTATCCAACAGTATAGATTAATTATGTGAATAAAAAAAATTAAAAAAAAATGTAAAAAATTATTAAAAATCTGAAGAAAAAAAATTTTGAAAAATTTATAAAAAATTGATTTTACTTTTCTATAAATACCTTCTCATTATCTTCTACCTTGCACCACAATTTCTATTTGCTCAACTACTTCCAATCACATTCTGATATTTCTCCCAAAGTTTCAATCCAATTTTTTTCCAACAGAATGACTAATGAGGCAGGTGTGAATTGGACGCTTCTTGAAGATATTGCGTTGTGTACTAGCTGGGTTGAAATGTGTACTAGCTGGGTTGAAATTACTCATGATTCGCTTATGGGTAATGAGATGCAATTGCGAGAAATGTGGGATCTTATTCATACCAATTATCTTGAAAAAATGGGTGGGAAAAGAACCAAAGAATCGATGTTCAGTCGTTGGAAATTACTTAGCCAATCGTATAGTACGTGGAGAGACACCTTGGCACAAGCTAGTGGTAATCTTCGAAGTGGGGAAAATTTAGCGGATTAGGTAACAATATATTATTTATTTGTTTGTCTTATTTATTTGTTACCTACTTTGATTATAATTATTTGTTTGTATTATTTATTTGTTGGCTACTTTGATTATAATTATTTGTTGGTATTATTTATTTGTTAGTTACTTTGATTATAATTATTTGTTTGTATTATTTATTTGTTACCTACTTTCTTTATAATTATTTATTCTCCCGCATTGTGTAGGAACTTCACACACAAGCTTGATATAATGCCAAAACCAAAAGCAAAAACAAATCATTCACCTGGTGGGAGTGTTGGAATATTGTCAAAGATTGTCCTAAATTCAGAGTTATGCCTGTCGATCTAGAAGTTTTCATGAACAGCACCTCTCTACACTCTACACTCTACACCCGATCATGCCTCGCATGTTCATGAAGATGATGCAGAAGAAGTGTTGATTATTTTAAAAATAATATATATATATATATATTTATGCGGCTGTTTGACTGACAGGGGATGGGATTGGGTTATTGACCCAAAAAGCACATCTCTTCAATTTGAACATGCATCTTTTGATTGTTGCCGAAAAGACATGTTTCATGATCCTTTGGATAAGAGGTGTTTTGTATCAAATATATCCATTGGACATACTGCTACAATGTGTTGTATCCCATGGTGAAAAGACATACTCAAATCAAAGGATGTGTCGAATGAGTGTAATTCTCTCTATATATATTGGTGATATTAGTAGAAAATGAATCATTCAGAAATTTGTTGTCTACACAATTTTTAGAAATTTGTTCCACATTCCTTGCTCTCTTTTCTCTCCATCACATTCATACAATTTCTATCTAGTTATTTCTAAGGGAAATACAATTCATTTTTGCTAATCAAGTATTTCATACTTTGTTGTATCCTGTAAGTGACTTGCCAAGAACCCTCTAGCAAACTCATTCGAGTGAGGGCAAATAACACTTTAAGGAAACGATTCAAGTCGTACCTCAAAGTCATCATTCGGATTATTTTCTATATTTCTACATTTTACTCTAACAATCTTAAAGTGTTATTTTCATCATGGAGAGCAAGTCTGATAACATGGCTTTGAAGATTATCAATCAAGATTTCTACAAGCTAGACAAATTTGATGGATCAAACTTCACCCGATGGAAGGATAAGATGTGTTTCATGCTTACTGTTCTAAATTTCATTTATGTGTTGGACCCGAAATTGGATCCTATTTGTGAACCAAGTGACGAAGATTTGGACAAAATAGTTGCCGATCAAAAGAAGCGTGAAGAAGATGAATTGGTATGTCGAGGACACATCTTGGGCACATTATCTGATCGCTTATATGACACGTATGCACACATTCAATCTCCAAAGGAAATATGGGAAGCACTCAAACACAAGTACACAACGGAGAAAAGAGGTACCGATAAATTTTTAATGTTCAAATATTATGAGTTCACTATGTTTGATAACATCCTAGACCAAGTTCATGAATTATTGGTCTTGGTCTCAAACACTGTTCTAAAAATCCCCGTCTAGCGCTGCCTAGGCCCCGCTTAGGCGCTAGGCGGTTGGTCACCGCCCCGATTAATGCCTAGGCGTTTGAAAATTAAGAAAGGGCCCATAAACCTACTGAGATGCCCGCCTAAACTGCCTAGGCACCCGTTCAAACCCGCCTAGGCATCGACTCACTTAGGCAGAAAATAGATAACTTTCATTTTGCATTTTAATTTTTTTCAATAAATTGTAAGAGACTTGTCAAATACTTAAATGAGCACACATTATATGCTTGTTCCCCATGTTTTCATTATATTCCAATACTTCATAATATATGTGTCATTCTATTTTATAGTTTATGTTGAAATTATATATATTTTAAGTATAAACATACACTTATTTACATGAAATATAATGGATTTAGTTAAATCTGCCTAGTCCGCCTAGGCGCCGCCTAGACCCCGCCTAGCCTCCTAGGCGCGAGGCCCCAACTCGCTGCCCGACTAGCACCTAAAGTCTTTCAGAACCTTGGTCTCAAAGCTTCATGAACTTAAAATAGTTATTCTGGATCCTATGATAGTTGGGGCTATTATGGCAAAATTACCCCAAACATGGAATAATTATAGAAAAAAACTTCTACACATGGTGAAAGATATTAGTTTGGAGGATTTGCAAAAAGGTATTCAAATTAAAGAATAAACTCGAAATCGTGTTGCAAATCAAGGTTTCTCCAAAGTTCACATTGTCGAAGGAAACAAATACACAAAGAACTTCAAAGTCAAAATTGATAAAGGGAAGTTGAAAAAGACCAATTCCAACAACAATCAAAAGAATGCAAATGGTGCCTGCTACCATTGTGGAAAGAAAGGCCATTACATTTGTGATTGTAGACACAAAAAAGCAAGTGAGGAATATGCCAGTAAGACCAATAGCGTAAATATGGTGGAAAACTCTGGAATTAATAACGTTCTTGCAATGGTATCAATAATGCATATTGGCATAATTACCGAACTGAATATGGCAGCGGTAATAAAATCCTTTGATTGGTGGCTCGACTCAGGAGCTACTATACATGTGTGCAATGACAAGGCACAATTCATGACATAAGAAGCATCAACGGACAATCAAGAGGTTTTAATGGGGAATCATAATTCCGCCAAATTTCTAGGAAAAGGAACCGTTGAACTTCAGTTTACTTCTGGGAAGAAATTGACGTTGCTTAATGTACTGCATGTTCTAGAAATTAGAAAGAATCTTGTGCCTGCAAATTTATTATGTAAGAACAGTATAAAGACTGTTATAGAGTCCGACAAGTTAATAATGTCGAAAAATGGAATGTTTGTTGGGAAGGGGTATTCCAGTTCAAACTAAGTATTAATAATAAAGTGAA